GGCATTTGGTCACGCAATGGAAGTTTGTCTGTCACGCCGATTGCGGAGCGGTGTTCCCCCCTTTACGCCATAGAATGCGTGTTTATTGCTTGTGTTTGTCGGGATAATTAAAGCATTACTCCCTAGGAACTGCAACATTAAACGCAGTTTGTCAAGCTGATACGTGCGTTCACGGGATCTAATTTATATTGGACATTCAAAACCCAACAAAATTCGATGTTCAACCTAATGCAGCTGGATACATCATTCATTATCAGCAAAACTGTTTCATAAATTTTACCCAAAAGTCAATCAGATCGCCAGACAGAAATAAAGCGAAAGGCAGCAGACGCTATTCACGGCAGATCATGATACCAAAGATTTCTCCTGTTGTACGTGTATTAACTAAGTCGTAAGTACCCATTATGAGTGATGAGCTCAACTAAAATATCTTGTGAACATCGATCCCGAGCTAATATCCTGTTGTTGGAACGTACTGATGCTAATTGCTTATCAGGAAAAAAAAAAAGGGAAGAAAAAATTTTTATTGAAACGTTCTTAATATCACCGTAGAGACACACGGCACTGACTTGCTAAGTGCAGACACGAGTTTCCATATAGTCAAACAGAGACCTCTTTGCTGGTTTCCTTTTATTATTGATGTATTATCTCTCTTTACATTTTAGGTAAACAACTATATTAACACACTGTATAAAAACAACGTAACCTTGTTCCACAAAATTAATGGTTTTGTAGACCCCACAAAAATAGTGACTCCGGTGTAAAAAGAGGTCAAAACTGAACAAGCGTCTGGCGGGACAAATCCACCGAAAAATGTTCTGTTTCCTTAGGGAAATGCGATCTTGTTGAGTTCAAAGGCCAGAATTTCCGTTGATTCAGCGCGCGTCGTCTAATGGGCGTTTTGCATGGAAATACCACGCATATAAGTAGCTAAATGACCGGCAGCCGGTCAAGGTTTTCAAATCACTAAATGACCGGCAGTCTGATATTTTTCTCAAATTTTAAGGAATCGAAGGAACCCATCCAATTCAAACTGTCATATGTCGCAAATTGTCAAGTGTCACAAACCATTCCATTTTAAAAGCACCGAAATCAATAGTCACCTAAACAGAGACCGGGAATTTTATCGGAAATTAAGCGTTTAATTTAATATGACAACCATTTCAACAAAACGTAAAGATAAAGCAAGCGCGAACGCTTCTCAAGAAAATGTTAATCATATTAAAAAAAAGTCAGCTTCAATTTCAATGATGTTGAAGGAAACATTACACATGTCCGTAACCATTGTGACATCAATATCTTCAGTTATGAGAGATAAAAAGTAGTATCATTCCTGGCGCGATGAAGAGATAAAATTTTAGGAACAAGAAAGGTCCCGGTATTTCATCAATATCTACATAATGATAAGCGATAATTTTCCGACAATGCATCAATACTCGAAGATGGTGCAGAGTTGTAATGTCAGTTACCCAGTCTGGAAAATGTCCTATGCTTCGTGGGGTGTGCTTTGTCTCATAAAAATCAGGAGCACTGATGAGTTTCACTGAGTTTCTTCCTGCTCAATTTCATAAAAATTGTATAAACCTTCGACAAGCGTACAACTCTCTTAGCCAAACCTAGACACAGCAGGAATTTCAGTAACGATGGACAGTAATCACCAGACATGCGTTTGTGTGAAGTCAAAGTTTTGTCCAACAACAAATAATTGGTGCATCAACTAGCTGAGCCTGTTGGAGTTATGTGTTTTGTTTCAAGTATCGTACACGAGTCGAGTCGAGTCGTATCAGACACGATACCTGAAACATACATACATATTTTTTTACATATTTTTACATCAATCAAAACTATAACAAAATTCTCGAACGTGATTGGCTATCAGCAGCCC